CCCCTTCCGCAGGAGGCGGGGGATGCCAGCGCGTGGGGTGGGGGGGTATGTGCTGGAACGCAGTGCGTGGTGTATACTGCCGTCCTCAACGACTACCTGTACGATACTGCGAATCCGCTCTGCCCTTCCCACCCCCTGGGCACCCCTTCCGCAGGAGGCGGGGGATACCAGCGCGTGGGGTGGGGGGGTATGTGCTGGAACGCAGTGTGTATACTGTCGTCCTCAGCGTTTACGCGAACTCCCTGTGCGATGGCCACGTCCCCGTGCTGTGTTTCGAGGGCTGGCTGTCCATTGATTTCGCCCTGAGCGTGAACTTCGACATGGGTGTGTGGTTGGCCATGGTGGTGTAAGTACACGGAACTACCCCAGGCTGACGGAGGAGAGAGGGATGATGATGATGATGATGATGATGATGATGATGAGGATGAGGAGGAGGAGAACGATTAGCAGGAAGAATGAGGAGAAGAACAAGAGAATCATTAATGAGGAGGAATAACGAGGAGGAGAATGAGACCGAGGAGACGAAGAAGACCTTGCCGAGGTCGATCGGTCGCCTTTCGCCCCCCCCCCCCCTCCCCCTCCAAAAAAAAAGCTGCCTATAGGCTGGGCTCGAGGAAGGGCCTCGAGATCGCCAAGGATTGAGGCGGAAGCTGGGCCAGCCTCGAGCCGTTCATTAATCGGGGGATCGGCGGATCCCCCCGTTGCTTCATTGGAGGCGCGGCCGCGTCGAAGCGCGCTGGCCTCCTCCTCGCAATGTTTCACTCCTCCCTCCTGTCTGGATCCATGCGCCCGCGCGGGGCAGGCGAGGGCCTCGATCGAGAAGGCTGCGCTCGCATCCAGGGTCGGACTTCGAAGCCTTTCCCCTGCTCCCTCGACTCGACAGCCTCGATCACGCTCGAGTTGTAAAGCAGACAACTTCGGCAGGGCACGGGGGCCATGCGTGCCTCCATGCCTTGAAGCTCTCGCGCGTCCCGCCTTGAGGGGCCGAAAGGCTTGATATCGATCGGTCGATCGATCGACTGATCGAGATCGCTCGATCGATCGAGCACTCGGTCGATCAACCGATCGATCCATGCCTTTCGGCCCCGCCCCCGTGCCCTGCCGAGGCTGGCCCCGCGCGCGGCGCTCGATCCAACCTCTCCCCGTCGATCCAGAGCGGGTGCGGCCGAGGCTCATCCAGTGAGCGGCCCAGCCCTGAGAATAGTCAGGGCCGACGTCTATGTGTATATATATATATAGACGTTTCCTTGCGCGGCAGCCCTGAGAATCTGTCAGGGCCGACCTGCCGACCGTACTGCTCCCGCGGGAGCGAGCTGCAGGCCCCCAGCCTCTCTCCCTCCTTCGATTGAAACCACCGCCCTCGCCCCACCAACCTCCACATCCTCGCCGTCACCCCTGCACGTGTTCCTATCATAATTTCCTCTCCTTTCCCTTCTCGGACAATTACATAATTTCCTCTCCTTTCCTTTCTCGGCGAATTAGCACGTGAAGCTGGCCGCTGCATTAATGCAGAAGCGCCCACGCTGCGCCTGCCCCTTTCTCGCCCCCCTCCCCCCTCGATCCGGTTCGATCCGTGCAGCGAGGGCTTGGCGCGGGGACGTGCGCCGACACGTGGCTAACGCATGCGCGTGCAACTTCGAGGATGACGACCCACCCTCCTACTCCATCCTCCCACCTCGTCCCCCGCATCGCTCGCGCGATGCAGCGACAAGTGCCCAGGGACGCAGTACGAGATCATACCAATTTGCAACCATACGCTTGGGAAAGAGCCCTCATCCTCCTCCACCTCCTCCTCCTCGCGGCCGCTGTCGCGAAAACGGCCCATTATAATGGCCGCCCTCCAGGCCCCAGACCTCCTGGCGTCGTGAAAAATCACGACGGGCGGTTTTTCGCTGTGTTCGGCCTCTGGGTTCTCTCACTGGGCCTCGGGAGCGACAAACCTCTGGGGGTCGACGTTGTGAAAAAATCACGACGTCGGGGGTCTGGGACCGAGTGGACTCGGTTTCGATCATTTGTTCTTGCTCCCTTCCTCCCTCACTCGGCCTCGACCCCAGTGACTTCTCCAGGGACCCCCGCGACAGCCTCCCCTCAGCCTCTCCCCCTCCCCTCCTTCGCCTCCTCCGTTGGCACCTCGAGTCGGGGCGCGCTCCGCCCCACCGCCGGCCGCGAGCCGATGTACGTCGCAATCGTTGGAAACATCCCCTCTGCAAACTCACGCCTCCTCTCGCTCGCGCGTGGCTCTCAGAGTGGACGTGCATGAGTGTACAGTGATCTACGACGGTGCAGGATGTCGCCCGATGCAGCGCCACGTGGTCACAGATGCGCAGGAGATGAGCGCCACTGACAATTGCCACCATGAACGTTTGGAAATAACGCCCATCCCCTCCACCTCCTCCTCACTCGGGATCTCTACCTCTCTCCGTCGATTAACACCACAGTTGGTCGACACGCGTGGCCGCATCATCGTGCATGGTGGTTATGACCGACGCTTGCTCTTGACGGAAAACGGCGGTCGTCCGCGCGGTGCTCGGGTTTCCCTTACGTGTTTTTGTTCCAAGGTTTTTTTGTTCCAAGGGTGTTTTTTTCCGCCCTGGCCCCGACCCAGGATCCTGGGACCAAAAAGCACACCCCCCTCGAATTGCACCACGCAGTGTCGTATCCGTGCACGCATGCCTGCGCATGATGTGTGTATGTTTGTGTGTATATAGCATTGAGAGGTGCATGTTTCTTCCTCTCATCTCTCGATCCTAGTTTAGCCTAGGGCTCGCTCGCCTCGCGCACGCTTCAGCGGCGCAGGGAGCACAGGCTGAATGGCCTGCACGCCATTATGCACTACGCGCCACACGCATGCGGATGAAAAGTGCTGGCGTCCTATATATATGTGTATATATGTATATATATATATATATACGTGTGTGGATATATATATATAAAAGATCATCATTCTATTCCTCCCCAACTATTTGAATCGATCCTGACGCTGCAGAACGCGGCGTTGGCGCGTGAGCGGCATCATGCTGCCGTGCACTATTGCATATGTTGCAGAAAAGAAAGGAAAATGAATGGGGCCGCTGCGCGCTCGTCTCCGCTCCTCCATGAGCAGACCCCTCGAATGCTGCCACGATTGCGCATCTCGATCTTGCAGTGCGCAGCTTCGATCGGGACGCCCACCCCGCTTCACCATCGCGGACGTTGCGCACTAATGCATGCCAAGTGCGCGCCCCGCCACCCTCCATCCTCCTGCCGTGGCTATTTTGGTTCAATATTGGTCGGCCCAAGCTGGCACTGGCCCGTAGGCCCTGTCAACGATCGTCTTATGACAGAAAACAATGCAAACGCACCATGAAACCCAAAAACACGACAACGCCAACTTACGCAAAAACGCACTACATGCCTTTGCCTTGTTTTTCTCGCAACGTCTTGAAACGAGAACACAACAAGAACTGGCGTCTTGAAAAAATTGCGACTGGAGGATGTCAGGGAGCGGTCGCCCTTGCAGGACCTCCTCGGGCAGGAAAGAAGCTAGGAGGAGGAGGAGGGGAGGAGGAGGAGGAGGGGGAGAGGAGGAGGAGGAGGAGGAGGAGGAGGGGAGGAGGAGGAGGAGGGGGAAGGAAGGAATAAAGAAGGAAGGATAATATATGAAGGGGCGCAGGAGGAGGAGGAGGAGGAGGAGGAGGAGGAGGAGGAGGGGGAGGAGGAGGAGGAGGAGGAGGAGGACGAAGAGGAGGAGGAAGACATGCCCTGCGAGTCGATCCCATTCGAATCAGGCCCCATCGAGTCGCTCCCGCCGAGAGCTTTCGATCTGTCCCGACGCGACGACGACGACGACGACGACGACGGCGACAACGACGACGACGACGAGGATGGGGGAGCGAGAGTGGACGAGGAGTAAGACGAGTCAAGGAGCGGGGCGAGGAGTGCGACGAGGAAGGTTCTGATGTACAAGGAGGAGAGAGGCGTGCAGCAGTGGGGCAGGGCAAAGGGTGAAAGGAGAGGGCGGGGCGCGGCGCGAGGAGGAGGATCCGAGGAACCTATTTGTTTGCATTTCCTCCTCCTTCATCGTGCGCCGCATGCGCCCCCTCTTGCGCCCTGCCCCCTCGCCCTCGCCACTCGCGTGGTGCTGCCGTTCCCCCAGTGCGTGCTGCATTGCGGATGGATGGCGGTGCCCTCATTGTTGCCCCGCGCCCCATTGGCCCAAGAGCGGCGACTATGCCGCTATTAACGTGGGCTGGCTCGCGGCAATAGCTGCTGGAGGCCCCGCGCGGCGGGGCGATGGGCGCGGCGCTGCCTGGCGCGGATGCGCGCGCACGGCCGAGATGCAGCGGGGCATTCGGCGATCGGCACGCGCGCGGATGCGCCGACCCAGGTGCCGCCCCGAGGCTGTCGAACACATTAGGGCGGATGCGCAACTGTCGGCAGCCCGCTATCCCGCGGGCCGCGCGCCCGCGACCTCGGGCCAACCACGGTGCACCACGGGGCATCCACAGGTCAAATGCGGGACTAAAGCGGGCAAGCCACGGGGCACGCGAGACCGCCGCAGGACGACCGCCAAGGCAACCGCGCGGGACATTCGCGGGGCAACCGTGGGGCGGCCTCGGGGCTGGGACATGCGTTGGACGCGTGCACATGCAAGCGCGTTGTTTAACAGTGTCTGTGTCCCAATGCATGGCGCAGCATGCAGTCGCGGCCTCTCTCTCTGCTTGCGTTTCCACGAGTGGCCATTCCCTGTAATAAACAAGGTCTCCAAGGCATGGTACCAAAAAGATGCATGGCGCAGTGTGCAGTCGCGGCCCCTCTCTGTCTCTCTGCTTGCATTTCCACGAGTGTACATTCCTTGTAATACACCAGGGCTCCCAGGCCGTGCAAAACAAGGTTGCGTGGCGCAGTGTGCAGTCGCGGCCTCTCTCTGCTTGCATTCCCACGAGTGGACATTCCTCATGATAAACAAGGGCTCCCAGGCATGGCAAAAAAAAACAGCGTTCATCGAGGACGTCTTGCAGGTTGCCAACGCTCGCAACATGGGCGAGCAGCTCACCCGCGGCGCAGTGAAATACACGGACCTCGCGCACATTGTTCTGCATTGCTTGGGGGTTGATAGTGCGCATGCCCCGACGTTGACCCCTGGGAAGATGAAGAATAGAATCAAGGAGATGGTTGCGGACCGCCACGGGGAGCATGTCGGAGGGCCAGCAGGCGACGCCAAGCTGCCCGTGGCCTTACTCCCATCAGTATTCAAGTTCTTCTGCGACGTGGACATTTCCATGGGCGAGGTGCAACAGATAACGTCCCAGCTGCGCATTCCCCGTACCTATACTAAGAGCTCGGCCCCCCGATCTTGGGAACAGCAGGAACGCCAGGTGGGCGGGAGGTTCGGGCGCAGCGCGCCCGCGCCATCGTCTGCCCCAGCGCCAGTGCAGGACGAAGACGCAGCAGCCGCTTCGGGGGCGCGCGGGCCAGGGGAGCTCGCGGTGGCGTCTGCGGGGGCAGACGGGGGCGGCGCCGTCGCCCCGTTCAGCCCTGACGTCTACGACGGGCTGACGCGCGACGAGATGAAGGAGTGCTTGCGCGCCAGGGACGCTCGGGTCTTGGAGCTCGAGCGGGAGGCCAGGGCTGCCAGGGAGACAAACAGGAGCCTGGTGAGAAGGGGGGCGTACATGGAGCAAAGGGCCGCCGAGCTCATGGCCGCCATCGTGCAGCTGCGCGACGAGCAGCAAGCCATCATGCAACGCGTCCGCTTCCGTAGCGGCTTCCGTGGCAACATCTCCCTGATCGGGGGCTACACGCTGGCATTGCGGCGGAACGCCGCCCACGCAGGCGCCGCGGCCACCGCGGCGATGGTCGCAGGTGACGACTTCCACGGGGCAGTCACGGACAGGCGCACGGTCTGGCAATTTGAACACAGAGCCGCGGCCGCCATTCGGTGCCGCGCGCGCGCTGCCATGGCCACCCCCGAAGGCGCCAGGCCCCGGTGCGAGGTGATCCAGTTTCGGTGCGACGCGACGCACCATCAGGCCCTCGACAAGGAAAAGGTGCATGCGTCGCAGCTGGTGCACAGGCGGGCGCCCATGCTGGCTGCGACCACAGCCCAGGCCGTCAATTTCGGGGACATGGCGCAGACGCACAAGGTGGCCTGCGACTTGCAAGTGGTAAGGGCAGGCACCGCCCAAGAGACGTACAACAACGTCAAGAAGGAATTGGCGTCCGTGGGCTGCCCCAATTGGGAGGAGCGCTGCATCGGCGCAGACGCAGAGAGGAACTCCATCTGCGTCTTCGTCTTCGGCGTCGACGCGGGCCCAGACAACCAGGGCATGGCCCCCATGCTGACCACGGCCCTCCACGGAGTGCCGAACGTGTGCTTCATCATGACGTTCTGTTGCGCTCACCAGGCCCACCTGGTGATCCTGGCCGCGCTGCAGATCCTGGAGGGCTTTGACTGGGGCCCTGGCGCCGTTCAGCCAGCCGCGCCAGCGCCAGCGCCCATGCCTGGGGCGCCCCCCGCGGGCGCCGCTGCCGCGCCAGGGCCAGCGGCAGGGGCCGAGGGGGTCGTCGTGCCTGCCGACGCGGCGGTGCCAGGTCATAGAAATGGCGGGTGGAAATACTGGAGTTCGGTGGCGACAGTGGCAAACGTGTGGCGTTCCGCAGGGGCGGCCGTGAAGCTGAGGGGCGCGGCGGCGCGTCTGTACGACGACGCAACTGCGCAGCGGCATTTCGGGAAAATGCCAGGCCGCCCCTTGAAGGGCAGGTGGGGCAGGGTGGATGCCATTGAAGGGATCCTGCGCAGCGGGAGGGAAGTCCTGGGCCCAGTGTTCGGGCGGGTGTTCGGAGAAGCAGTCCAGAAGGCGAAGGCCAGGGCGAAGGCGGGCCAGAAGAGACAGCGAGTTGCGCCACCACCTGGGGGCGATGAGGAGGATGCATACAAGGAGATGATGAAGAACTACAGGGCCGTTGCGGTGAATGTGACCAACAACCAGTTGTTCCTCGCCCTGGTTTACATCTCCCACGCAGCCAAGGCCCCAGTCATGCATTTCTTCTCGTGGTTGCAGAAGCAGGTGAGGCTTCACAACCAACGGCTCGCAGCGGCCGAGAGGGAGCGCCGCACTTACTTGGGCCCGACCCCGCTGAGCAATATGATGGCGGGGCAGGTCGCCGCTACCATGCAGGGCATGGAGAACCTTCTCACGGATGCAGCGTCAACGGCCGAGAATGCGTGGGGCGGCTTGTGGCCGCTCCTACCCAATGAGGCGCACCGCGCCCGCGCCGTGGCGCTGATTGTCCGCCTCGTCCTGGCGATGGCCGCGTCGTGGCAGCACAGGTTTGTCGCTAGACAGGATGACTTCCCCTACCTCTTGCTCAGGCTCGTGGAAAGCCCCCCCGACCAGGATTGCCAAGTTCGGAGGGGGGTCGCCAGGAGGGCCTTGGCAGTGGAGCCGTGCTGCTTGATAAGGCGCTTCTCTGACATAACATGGAAATGGGTATTTCACTTTCGCGATCAGCTGGTCCGCGCCCGCGATGAAGGGATTTGCACGCCCGACATGTTCAGCGCCATCTTGATGTTGTGAGCATCGGTTCCCGTGGACACACAGGAAATCGAAGGGATGAACTCTATCCTCCAGACAATGGCGTCTCGCGCGCCAACGATGAGGATCCCGCTCGCCTCGGACAGGATGCAGATAAAGAAGAGCCAGAAGCTGTCCGTGGAAGAATGCTTGGAACTACACAATGATGTGATGGGGTTCGCGGGGTCGCCCGAACAGCTGGCCCGCTTTGAGGAGGGGCCGCCCGAGAGGGTCCCTGCCCCAGCGGGGGCGCCCGATTGCCCCCACCAGAAGGGCGCGCTGGCTGTGCTTGCCGCGCGGTACGCGCTGTCCATCCATAGGACTGTCCTTGCAGATGTCACTGTCGTCTTGGACGCGCCCGACTTGCAGCCTTTCGTGGTCTGCTGGAGTTATGGTTCCGTCCCGTGGGTTGCGACGGGCAGGCTTGTCGGCCACGGCTTGTTCCAGTTCTTCCAACTTTCGGCGCCGTTGAATGTGGTGCCTTTGATGGACGTTCTCCTACGGTCTGGTTGCCTTCTCGCCGACGCCGCTGGCGGGGCTGCGAATCCTGCGACGCGGACCCAGATCACGCTGCGGCGCCGCTGCGTCGCGTGGGAGCAGAACTTCACGGCCCGCGTCCTGGAGGGCGCTGAGATGGAGCTCACGTTCAACCCCGCGAAGAAGCCACCCAATAGGAAGAATCGGCCCGCGCCGCCGCGGGGCGCTGGGGGGCCAGGGGCGCTCGGCGACGCTGGCGTCGGAGGCGCAGGGGCCGACGCGGGCGACGTGGAGGGCGAGGGGGCCGACGACGCGGAGTTGGAGGCTTGGCTGGAGTACTTGATGGAAAGCGGAGAGGACCCGCTCCACGGACCAGGGGCCGCCGATGACCCCGAAGTTGGGCTCGACGCCGAGGACGCCGAGGACGCAGAGGAGCGCTTGCTGGACGAGTTCGGTGATGGCGACGCCGATGATGGTGAGCCCCCCGCGCCTGACGCGCCTGGCGGCGTGTTTGCCGACGGCTACGAACCGCCCGACATGGCGACGATTCGCGCAGCGTGCGTCGCCAGAGGGCGGGAGGTCACGCTGGCAGACAGGTGGGCGGGCGCCATGTCCAACGCCACGCACCCAATGACGCACGGCGTGATCTCCTTGATTGAGTTCGAGGACGCGGTCTCGTTCGTGCGCTGGGAGAAGACAGCGGGCGAGGCGCGCCCAATCAAGTTGGACGAGTTCAACCGCGTCAAGGCTCTAGTCTTCTTCACGCGGGACGACGTGCTGAAGATGAGCGAGAAGCCGCATCGGGTGCTCGTGCGGGACACGGGCGTCCCCATGATCAAAACCATTGGGGGCAAGAAAGAGAGGCCCCAGATGGTCGCGTCGGCCTTGCTGCTCAAACAGAAGGCCGAAGTGGCTGCCTTCTGCGGCCCGCGCCTCAAGGACACCGTCACGGGGGAATGCCCCCTCTGCGACGGGCACCTCAAGGAGGAGTTCAAACTACCGCCGCTCGGTGACTACTATGTGTGCACGATGTGCCTGACCCCGTGGCACGTCGCGTGTGCGCGGGAGGTGGATAAGGACGTTCAGTTCACCAACTACGTATGCCATATGTGCCGCCTGGGTGGCGACGCTTGAAGGCGCGGCTGTTGCTATGCGTCGGCCAGACGTAGCTAATGTAACAGGGTTGCGCGGCATAGCGCCCGAGCTGGTTGGAATGCTGGCGACCATGGCAGGCCACCAAGCAACGGCGCCCGCCGCCCGCCCCAGCAGGCACGCTGCGATCTCCGAAGGAGACGAACGACGCCAGGAATCCGTCAACGCACTTGGGCAGCACCGCGGGCAGAGCACCGTGGGCAGCACCCGCAGCGCGCGGTCAAGCCGCTAGCGTTGCTGGGCGTGCCATCGTCATCTCCCAAGGAGACGACTGCGCGCACATTGCGAATGAACCATGGGGTGCTTCACGTACCCCTCTCCAGGAGCTGCAGCGCGACAGCTCGCCGCTCGGCGGGGCCGCGCAGGCTTGCCCCTGCCCGAGGGGGGGCTGCGACGACGACGACGACGACAGCGACGACGCCGACGGGCATGCGCGCGCGCGAGCGCCAGGGGTGATAGAACAGATGCAGCACGCGCGCGCGAGCGTAGCACACGCCAGAGGCAGCGCGCGCGCACTGCGCAGCAACGCGCGCACCCAGCAGCAACGCGCGCAACACAGACGGGCAAAACAAAACAACGAACCGAAAACAAACAGACGCAAACACACCATGCACTGCACGCATAAGGAGAAAATCAAAAAAACAAAACGCATGCAGCGTATGTTTTTGCATCGCCAGGGCAGCTGGGTGACGCGCCGCCGCGTCCTGGGCCGGGCGGCCGGGACACCAGCGTGTCCCGGCCCAGGGGGGCCGGTACACCACGGTGTCCCGGGCCAGGGGGGCCGGGGCACCAGCGTGTCCCGAGCAGGGGGGCTGGGACACCAGCGTGTCCCGGGCAGGGGGGCCGGGACACCAGGGTGTCCCGGCCCCCTGCCCGGGGCGCGCCGGTGCGCTGGCCCAGCCCTCCGGGACACGCCGGTGTCCCGGCCCCCCTGCCCGGGACACGCTGGTGTCCCGGCCCCCCTGGCCCGGGACACGCTGGTGTCCCGGCCCCCCTGGCCCGGGACATCGTGGTGTCCCGGGCCGCGGGTCCAGGCGTGAAAACATGAGATGAGGGGGATGGATGAGCATTGAAAAACAAATGTTGCGGCTAAAAAAACAACACGCTCGAAACGCATTGCGCGTGCAAAGTGCGCGCGCGTGCAACCAATTAACGAAAGGCACAGCGCGCGCGTGCGCTCGGGATGAGTGCGCGCGCTCGCAGGTGAGGGATGCGCGAGCGCAACGCGCGCCTCCACGAAAGATCGAGTGTCAGCTGCGCGCTCGTATTGAGGAGTGTGCAGGCGCTCGTGCATGGCAGTTTCGCAGGAGCGTTCGCTCGGCGCCCCCGCTGGCCGATGCGTTCGGAGTGCGTCTCGGCGATGCTTTGGCGATGCGTCGCGGCCGCGTGCCTGGGCGCGCTGCATTGTGCAGTCGGTGCCATCCGCGCTGGGGCGACGGCGATCGTTGCGGGCTTCGGCGGCCCAATCGAACGTGGACAGCTCATTGGGCATTGCGCAGGGGGCGGGGGTGCTGCACGTTGAGACCCCCTCTCGTCCCCCACCCGCGCGCTTCGTGAGAGCTGAACCCAGGGGCCCTCGAAGTATTCGATGTGTCGGGACGCCTGGCGGACAGCTCGATTGCGATTGAGTTTGGCGCGCGCATTTGTGGTGTGAAGCGTCCTTCCAAAGATCCGCGGGCTCGCCGACCCCGTGACCGTCTGCTGTCCTGGCCCCGCCCGTCGCGCTGCCCCTCGGAGGCGACATCATGGCGGACAGGGGCGTCGCTGACGTGGCGCAGTTCAGAGCGGGCGTCAGCGAGGCCGACCTCTTCAAGCCAGGGGGGGACAGGGGGTTCAAGCACATCTCCGAGATCTTCGAGAACTACACGATGAAGGGGGAGGTGCTCAGGCGGCTCCCGAGGGGAAGGCATGTGGAGGAGGAGGAGGAGGAGGAGGTGGAGGAGGAGGAGTCGAGGAGTGAGTAAGGAAGCATCAACATCAGCAGCAGCACCAGCAGTTGCAGCACCAGCTGCAGCATCAACAGCACAGGAATGTGGAGAAATGAGAGACGAAGACGGGGAGGAGGAGGGGGGGGAGGAGGAGGAGGATGGTGAGGAGGAGGAGGAGGAGTCAGTAAGGAAGTGCGAGGTGGCACGAGTGATGGCGCAGGAGGTCTTAAGCCAGGGAGAGGTGGCCAGGGTGGCCCAGGGAAGAGAGTGAGTAGGCAGCGCGCCCCCCCCCGCGGCAGGCGGATCGACCAAACCTTGGGCGCGCTGGTCCACCGGGACTACAACCTGAGGCTCGTGACGAGCAAGGGGGATTGGGCCGTGAAGCGCCACCCGCTCAACAAGCGAGGCGCGCGGCTTGGGGGGGGGCGGCGGCGGCCCTCTCTCACTCCGCCCCTTCTCCTCCTCCTCCTCCTCCTCCTCCTCCTCGGGCCTCTCCCTCCTCCTCCTCCTCCTCCTCCAGCGCCGCTGCCTCGGACGTCGACGACGACGACGGCGACGCTGGCGACGACGACGACGACGACGGCGACGACGCCGACGACGACCAGCCTCGGCCTCCGCCAGGAGGTAAGGCGCTGGCACACCGTACTTGGCGAGATAGCGCCTCTCGTGTTTTGCCTTATCCACCTCGTCGTCGTCGTCGTCGTCGTCGTCGTCGTTGGAAGAAGACGCGTCCACCCTCATCCTGTGGGGAGGTTTGTGCTTCCTCTCATTGCCCTTGCCGCCGCCCTCGTCCGTGTCCTTGCCCTTGCCCTTGTCCTCGTCCTGCTCTTGCCCTTCGACCTCATCCTTGCCCTCTTGCCGCCCGTCTCCATGCCCTTGGCACCCTTGTCCTTGCCCTCGCCGCCCTCGTGGGCAGCCGTCTCGTCGCCCGTGCCCTTGCCCTTGCGGCCCTTCTCCTTGCCCTGGTCCGTGCCCTTCGCCGCTGCCCTCCTCTCACTTGCCTTGCTCCACTCTGGTAGCCTCCACGCCGCGGCATCCTGGGGGGGGGCGGAAAGGCAGGGGGAAAAGAGGGGGGTGGGAGATGGGAGGCGGAGAGGAGGAGGGCGTTGAGGAAGCGGGAGGAGGGGGGGGGGAGGGGAGGAACGGAGGAAGGCCTCGACTCGTCGGGCGGCGGCGCTCCAGTCGTTCCTCTCTCGTCGTTCTTGCGCTCCAGCGGAGTCTCCTCCGCCGACGGCGACGGCGACGACGACGGGCGACGACGGCGACGCCTCCCTCCTCCTCCTCCTCCTCCTCCTCCTACTCCTCCCCCCCTCCTCCTCCTCCTCCTCCTCCTCCTCTTCCTTTTGTTCCTTCTTCGTATCGGACCTTGTGCCGCCAGGCAGTGCGCCTCCTCCTCCTCCAGCCGCTGTCTCTTCCTCCTCCTCCTCCTCCTTCTTGCGCTCCCCCAGGCCTGCAGCCAAGGATGGCCTGGGGCTGACGGCCAGCCTCGTTCGTCGTCGTCGTCGTCGTCATCGTCGACTTCGGTCGTCGACGACGACGACGACGAACCTCGTGAGTTTCTTCGTCGAGTTCGCCATCCCCGCACGGCCGCGCGGCTTTCTCTCTGAACTGGCCTGGGCCTTCTCCGAGCCCGCTCCCTACGGACAACGCCCCGCGCCAGACCACCGACCGACGACCCGCGCCCCGCGACGACGACGACGACGAGGGCGACGATGACGACGAGGACGACGACGACGACGACGACGAGGGCGAGGGCGACGACGACGACGACGCCGACGACGAGGATGACGACGCCGCCGACGACGACGACGACGACGAGGACGACGGGACGACGGCGACGAGGAGGGCGACGACGAGGACGAGGACGAAGGCGACGACGACACCGACGACGACGACGACGAGCCGTGCGCGTCGCCTTGCCCCGCCCCTGGCAGGCGACAAGGCATCTGTCCTGAAGCGGAAGGCCTCGGTGGAGAGCGTCGGCATCCTCACCGACCTGCGCGGGGGGGCGTGGGTCACCCAGCACTGGGACGAGGTGCTCGAGGGGGCTGCGGAGGGAGAGGGGGGGAGAGAGAGAGAGAGAGAGAGAGAGAGAGAGAGAGAGAGAGAGAGAGAGAGAGAGAGAGAGAGAGAGAGAGAGAGAGAGAGAGAGAGAGAGAGAGAGAGAGAGAGGAGATAGAGAGAGACAGAGAGAGAGAGAAGAGAGAGAGAGAGAGAGAGAGAGAGAGAGAGAGGAGAGAATAATAGATAGAGAGAGAGAAGAGAGAGAGAAGATGAGAGAGAGGAGAGAGAGAGAGAGAGAGAGAGAGGGAAAGACAAGAGAGAGAGAGAGAGGGAGAGAGAGAAAGAGAGAGAAGAGAGAGAGAGAGTGAGAGAGAGAGGAGAGAGAGAGAGAGGGAGAGAGGGAGAGGGAGAGAGAGAGAGAGAGAGAGACGTAGGGGTTGCGAGGCGATGCGAAGCACGGCGTCTTTGGGACGCGTCGTAGGGGTTGCGAGACGTAGTGGTTGCGAGACGTAGGGGTTGCGTCTTTGGGGCGCTGCTATCCGAGAGGGCTTGCCAGAGGGGGGGGGGGATGTCGTCGAGCCGCGGATGCATATGATGCCCCCCCTTCTCGCTGTTCGCTGCCATGGGCGGCTAGGGCGAGCTCGCCCATCTCATGCTGATGCCTCCCCCCCCCGCCCTCAGACCAAAGACGAGCAGTTCTTGGCGCTCCACTGGGCCACGCTGATCGAGGGCGCCGAGCTGGCGTGGGAGGACGACGCGACGAAGAGCAACAAGTGCGTTCAGAACAGCATCCGCCAAGGGGTGCCGCACTCCAAGGCCCCCGGCAGGGGGGGGCGCTGCAGGGGCCGCGGCAGCGCGGGGGCAGAAGGAGGACGGGGGGCAGGAGGAGGAAGATAAGTGGTAAGGAGGAGGAGGCGAAGGATGGCAGCCTCGCAATTAGGGGGCACCCAGAGCCGCCACGCGCGCGCGAACTACAAATCCCGTTCACCTGTTGTCGGAGAGCTTACCACGCCTCTGG